CAGAATTAAAGTAAGAGTAAGATGATTTCACTGGGGGTCTCTAACTCTAATATTTCTGTCAGTAGCTCTGTGATATGGGCTTGAAAATCTCAACTAGGACAGTTTTAAGTTTATATTCTAGTGGACTAGGATCTGGAATAAGTTTTTAAAATAACTAATTATGGGAGATTTTATGTGGAATTACCATGGAAAAGTCTGAAAGGGACTACGGCAAAATGTTAGCAGCGCATCTCCCTAGGTGCTGGGCTTATCAGTGATTTTTCATTTTCATAATTTAATTTCGTTCATGTGCATTTTCTAATTTGTCTATAATGAGCACTTATTCCTTTTATAATAAACGGATAAAGGGCAAAATTTTAAATAAGATGAAAGATGTTAAACTAGAAGTCAAATTTAAAACTAAGGAGAGCAAGAGTTGGTGAATGAATTGGTAAGTATTTCCACTTACTTTGTATGCTCTGCCATCTTTGCCACTTCCCCAGATGTGTGTGTGAGACGGCCTGCCAGTCTAGAGGCCAGCAGAGGAAGGAATGATGGTTGCTGGTGCTGAGCCAGACAGGCTGTTTGTCCACACACAAAGGTTTCATGCTCATTGCATTTGTAGTAAGGGTCACCAGAAAGGTTATTTCTGCACAGCCTCTCCTGGCTTCATCTTTTAGTTGAACTCAGCCACTTATGCTGTGATCCTAAAGAAGCTGAAATTCAAGAAAGCTTGGAGGAGGACTATGATTTACCTAAAAGTATCAGTCCAAGTATTTCTAGAACCAACCATTCTGCCGGGGTTTATTTGGAAGTTGCTGAGAAGTACCTTTAATTGGTGAATTTCCTTCTTTTCTTTTTCCTTCCTTCCTCTGATTCATTTGGTCTTCTGATGCCTTTATAGCCATTACTAAACTACTTAACTCTTGAGGCGAGATTGGATGGTAGCAAAGAATCATCTTCCCAGTGAGAAAGACAGAGGAAAGCAGAGAGAGTTGCCCCCAGGACACTGGACTGTCAGCTGGAATCCAGTCCTACTTTCTTTTACCCAGTCTTGGTTAGAATCACCATCTTTATCATTTTTAACAATTTAATCTTACTAAATGATATATTGAGCCTTTTACAAGGACAGCCACTATCAGAGAACTGAAGCTGTATAACAGGCAGGAGTTTGTCAAATAACCACAGATTGTTGACATTGATTGTTTTCTTAGAAGCTCCACTTTTATGAAGGGTAAGTGCAGCAAACTAATTGTCCAGGGATATGCAAGAAAAAGGCTCAGGTATCTATCAACTCATACCTATGGTTAAATTATTCCCTCTCTTAAAAAGAATACTAAATTGTAGAGGGCCAAAGTTCTTATTTCCATAGTACAATATAAATGTGGGTTTATGTTTGCAAATGAAAGTTGCTGAAACTTCTCAGTATAATATGATGATTCCTCTGACTCCAAATGTGAGTCTCACTTAGACTGAAATTTTTGAGAAGACGCTGTGATGGTCAGCCTCGAGAAGGAAGGGCCAAAGATAGAAACAATGCCTACAGCCATGTTTGAGAAACATTTTAGAGGATCTTGTATCTTTGATAACTTTTCTTACCCTCTTAGAGAGCTCATCTACAGCCATAGCTTCATCCATTACTTACAAACTGAAGAAAATATCCAGGTCAGCGTTTTCTTTCTCAACTTTTCTCTGTACCTACTTCTCACATCTCCAACTATCTGTTATATATTCTCTCTTTGATGTTCTATGTGTCTTTGATACCTCAGACAGAATCTTTTCTCTCCTTTGACAAACCTAAAACCAAGTCTGACTAGCCTACATGTCCTTGACACCAACGTTCTCTGAGACATTCTTTCTCATAAATTCATAGTCATCATTGACTCCCTTCCCATCTCTCTTACACTCTACAGAAGCTTTATTTTAATAGTTCTTTCTTCACAAGGTCTCACTTTTACTTTTTCCGTGACCTCCCTTACTAAGACCCAGACTCCTTCTTGCCTGCACTGTTGAGATAAGATAACCTTGTCACACTGGTTTCCTGCCTGGAGCTCTCCCCTCTCCAGTCTAATTCACAGCCCACAGGAATAGCCTGAGACCAACTGAGAATGATTGAATCCAGCTTGTTAGGTTAAAAGTGGGGCCAGGAATAGGCTTTAAAAAGCTTAAGCCAAAGTTTTTACTGGAATTCCTCTCCCATGTATCACATGAAGGAGGAATTGGACTATTCCTGGGTCCTAGAAAACAGCCACTGAGTGGACAGTAAGAGGGAGCCAATTTTAGACCCATAGTAGAAGAGCCTTTCCTGGATTCGAGCTGTGGTATGATGGAAAAGTATCAGGAATGTGTGAGAGTGGGTTCCCTGTCCTAGATAATCACCTCTCAGAGGTGTAGTAGCAAGCTTACATGCTTTAGATCACGTGACCATGAGGTCTTTTCAAACTCTAAACTTTTACAGCTTAATCACAGCCTTCTCCATCTCTCCCTCTGCCTCTCACCTACTGGGAATTGAGCCTGTTCTTTCTGCTTCATGCTTCCCTCATTCCAAATCCTACAGCAGATGAACATACTGTCCTCCAGACAGATGCTCCCCTGCTTACCCCATACTATGGCTTTTTAGTCTAGGTTGCTGCCACTTTGGGTGCTTAAGTCACCTGGAAGGTAGATTTGGTTATTAAATACCTTTTATGTGCTGAGTTCCATGTCCAGTATTTTTCCTGATTTTATTAGTACAGTAACCCTGTGAAAATAGTATCAGTTTGGAGGTTCTTTTTTAACAAGTTTTAAAGAAGGGGAAACCCAGTATCATATAGGTCGTGAGTGGCAGAGATGGGATTGAACCAAGGTTTTCTAACTACAAGTTTTGTGTGCTTGAGAAAAGAGACAAAAGAGAGGAGAAAAGTGAAGTCCCCTTAAGCCTGGGCTTTGGATTGTGTGGGATAGGAAACGTGTTCACAGAGAAGCCTATATATTGAAAAAGTATATGTGGCATTTTTATCTCAGTGAACATTAAACTATATGTGTTGCCAGCAAAACTTATAAACTCTGATGTTTAAAATAGCTACTAGGAGCTAACAAAGAAAAAAGAAGAAACTAGTATATTTGATTAAAATATAAAAAACCACTAATTACAGTACATTTTTATCATATATCTTGCAATATAGTAACAAATATTCATGTCCTTCAATGTGTATTTGATTAGCATTGCATGAATTATTTTTAATTTTAATACTGCAGTGTTTTCATATTCCTAGCTTTCAGGTAGTATGCTGTCTAACCACAACTTTAAAAAAATCAGAGTTACTAATAGTGAAGCACTAATAGGAAGAGATTGTGAGGTAATGGACACAGACATGCCCAACTCTGTGTGTTGCACATGATAAATGTTTATTGGATCTGAGTCTAGCATCTGTACCAGAAATGAGGTGAAAGTCATATCATTAGTTTATTTTATTCCCTAATATAACTTAACTACCAGTATTTTCAACAGCATGTACCCTTTGACTCAGCAATTTCACTTTTAGAATTTTGTGCACACACATTAGTCAGTTCCCTATCATTTATGACCCCATCTCTGTGAGCTGAAAATTAGAGAAATCAGAAAAGAGCTAAGAGTTGTTGAATGGCTACCGTGTGCCAGACACTTTAGGTTTATCTGCTTAATCTTCAATCAACCCTAAGATGTAGATATGTTACCTCTCTTTTAAGTATAAGAAAACTGAGGCCCATAAAGGCCAAACATCTTGCCCAAGATCATATAGGTAGTAAATGCCTGATTTGGAATTTGAACTCAAATATCTCTGGCTCCAAAACCCAAACTCTTTCCAGTATAGCAATGATTTAAACATTGGATTCTATGGAAACGTGTTAGGTGGTGATGGGAGGCCAAGGGGAAGGCTGTGTGGGAGGAACGCATCTCCCACCCTCACTTCAACCAGAGAACCTGCTTTACAATTTTACCAGAATTTTAACCATTTCACTATATCTATTTCACCACATCTATCACTACTGGTATGGGAATTTAAAAAGAATTTTCACATAGAGCTATAATATATACTGATAGGTTTGCATATTACTAAAAATGACATAATCTATCATTATCCATCAGCCAAGGAGACCTGAATGGGTTGGAGAAGGCACCCAGGAGTCATAAGCATTGATTTAAATTAAACTGATTCAATTCAGAATTTTACAAAGATGGGATCTGGGAGTTTGGAGATAATGAAGGTCACCTCATACTGGGCTTAGTCTTCAGAGAAAGTATTCACACAGAGTGTCCCTGCAAGTCTGGATGGACCTGTTTTGGTTAAATGTTAACAACAATAATTTGACGTTTCACTTAAGCTACCTAGCAAAACCTGGAATACCACCACACTAATGAATGCCAAATTTGTTGCCTTTTTTGGAGAGGACACCTGGACTTGAATCTGTATAACTTAATTATTGGTTTACTCATTTATTCTGGAGGTGGAGGGAGGCTGACTATAAGGTATTTTGCCCAGGGAAGTGAGCTGGAGATGAAACCTTTGAGACCCACTCACTGCATTAAATCAGATTTTTGTGATTGCTGTTTTCTTATTTAAAGGTGTGGAAACCTGTCAAAATTTTTGTGTATTCTTTCAAACTTCTCACATACCTTTATTACTTTAAGGTGGGAGTAGGGATGGTATGAGAGGGATACTAAATGACTTTCCCTAGGAGGGAAAGAAAGTAAACTTTTCCCCATTACCCAATTTGTGTTATACAGTTCCTTTCAGTCCCTAAAGAGCAGTAAATGCAGTTTCATGTGAGAAGGTTGAAAAAAAATCACACTATTAGCCCACAAATGTAGGTGAAAATGAAGAAGATAAAAAAATACATTACTTGTTTGAAAAGTACCCAGAGTAAAATCTTTTTAGGATGTAAAAGCCGAAGTGAACCCTGGGCTGTTTCCTCAGTCAACAGAGACCTCTGGCTCAAGAAGTGTACTTGTAGTCTCCTGCTCCAGATTTTATCTGATTCTTATTTTATTTTTATTCCAGTTGCTACATTGATGGCCGGGTGGTCAAGGTGATGGACTTCCTGAAAACTCGTCTGTTAGACACACTCTCTGACCAGATTAGGAAAATTCAGAAAGTGAGTAAAAAGTCTCCTGGGAAAAAGAGGAGTTTGGGGTTAAGGCAAGGAAAAGGTCACAGAGTTCCAGCTGGATGTTGGTACTGTGGGTAGAAAGTAGCACAGTCTAGATGTGCACGGCTGAGAGTCACCTCTCACAGCTGATGGTTGTTGTTTATTGTTTTATAGACTGAGAAGAGTTCGAATGTGCCATATCCAACCATAAAAACATCTCTATTTTAATAACATATTTTGTAATAATTGGTTTCTAAGTTGAGAGTTTCTTAAGGAAAGAATAGGTTACTTTCTTTTTGCAGGGGTTTATTTTGGGTTCGTTGAAGGAGAAAATGATTACATTCATTCAGTGGCATTCTAGTCTGAGGAATTGGCAGTTCTGAGCCACATTTGCACTATGCCTCAGCATCTTATATCAGCCAAGTAACATCTTATTTTTGTAGAGATATGGGGAAAACCAGATTAAATTAGGTGATTACAGGTAGGTCCTATTAGCATGACACCTGTGGTAATAACTCAGACTTGAGTACAAAGTCACCAGAAGCTGCTCCTAAGGTCTCCAGTCTTACTTCTGATATTCTGATTTAGTTTGTCTGGAGTAGATCCCGGACATCTCTATTCTTAACAGTCATTTTTCAAGTGATTCCACCCCATGCAGATCACATTTTTAATTGATCTGAGTTGTGAGGATCTTATGTCTACAGTTTCCATCTGCCTTTACAAAATGGTGATATCACATCTTTAGTTGCCTGGTTAGGTCCTTTTCCAAGGAATGACAACCTTTTGAACACTCAACTTTCTCTTGAACAGTTTAAACAAACCTTTGAAGAAAAATAGAAACAGGTAAGCCCCCATCAGTATGGGATAAATGAATAAATGAATGTCTCATCATAAAATTAGCTGTGAAACAAAATCCTATCTGAAGCACTCAGAGAAAAGCACTTTTGATTGCTAAAGTGGAAGTCTGTACATTTTTTGCATCCATACCGACATCATACTCAGATTACAAATAGCCTTTTGAGTCTTTAAAGACTGGGAGGCCTCAGGACTTCTGCATTTCTGCATCCCAGTCTGATCCCTCTAGGGATCAGGTGCATTGACCACACCCTTTCTGTCATTATCTACTACTAGGCAAAGCCTAAGAGAACTAAATGATTTTTGAAATATCTCTGCCATGTAAAAATTCTCAGCAAAATACTAGCAAACTGAATTAAACAATACATAAAGAAGATTATACACTATGATCAAGTTGGATTCATCCTAGGGACACAAGGATGGTTCAACATATGCAAATCAAACAATGTGATACACCACATCAACAAAAGAAAGGAGAAAAATCACATGATCACCCCAATAGATGCAGAAAAAGCATTTGATAAAATTCAACATCCATTCATGATAAAAACTTTTACTAAGATGGATATAGAGGGAAATAACTTGACATAATAAAAGCTATTTATGACAAACCCACAGCCAACATAATACTCAACAATGAAAAGTTGAAAGCCTTCACACTAGAATTTGGAACAAGACAAGGACCACTTCTATTCAACATAGTTTTGGAAGTCCTAACCATAGCAGTCAGGCAAGAAAAAGAAATAAAAGGTATCCAAATTGGAAGAGAAGAGGTAAAATTATCACTATATGCAGATGACATGATACTGTATACAGAAAACCCTAAAGCCTCCACACAAAAACTGCAAGAGCTGATAAGTGAATTCAGCAAGGTAACAAGATACAAAATTAACATACAGAAATCAGTTGCATTTCTTTACACTAACAATGAAATCAGAAAAGGAAAGTAAAATAAAAACAAAAACAATCCTTTTTAAAATCATATCAAAAAAATAAAATACTTAGGAATAAACCTGACCAAGGAGGTAAAAGACTTATACACAGAGAATTACAAAACACTGATTAAGGAAATTAAAAATGACTTAAGGAAACAGAAAGATATCCCATGCTCTTGGTTTGGAAGAATCAATATTGTTAAAATGGCCATACTACCCAGAGCAATCTACTGATTTAATGAGACACCTATCAAATTGCCTAGGACATTTTTCACAGAACTAGAACAAATGATCCTAATATTTATATGGAATCACAAAAGACCCAGAATTGACAAGCAATACTGAAGAAAAAGAATGAAGCTGGAGGAATAACTCCCCCAGACTTCAGACAATACTAGAGACCTATAGTAATCAAAACAGCTTGGTATTGGCACAAAAAACAAACATATGGACCAGTGGAACAGAACAGAGAGCCCAGAAATAAACCCACATACCTATGGTCAATTAATCTTTGATGCAGGCAAGAATGTACAATGGAGGAAAGACAGCTTCTTGATCAAGTGGTGTTGGAAAAGTTGGACAGCAACATGTAAATCAATGAAGTTAGAACACTCCCTCACACCATACACAAAAATAAACTTAAAGTGGCTTAAATATTTAAACATAAGACAAGACACTATAAATCTCCTAGAAAAAAACATAGGCAAAACATTTTCTGACATAAATCTTAGCAATGTTCTTCTAGGGCAGTCTACCAGGGTGATAGAAATAAAAGCAAAAATAAACAAATGGAACCAAATTAAACTTACAAGCTTTGCACAGCAAAGGAAACCATAAACAGAATGAAAAGACAACCTACAGAATAGGATAAAATATTTACAAACGATGTGATTGGCAAGGACTTAAATTCCAGAATATACAACTGCTCATACAACTCAATAATAAAAAAATAAACAACCCAATCAAAAAATGGGCAGAAAACCAAACAAACATTTCTCCAAGGAAGACATGCAAATGGCCAATAGGCACATGAAAAAATGTTTGATATCACTAATTAACAGAGAAATACAAATCAAAACTACAGTGAGGTATCACCAGTCAGAACAGACATCATTAAAAAGTCCACAAACAGTAAATGCTGGAGAGAGTGTGGAGAAAAGGGAACCCTCCTACACTGTTGACAGAAATGTAGTTTGATGCAGCCATTATGGAAAACAGTATGGAGATTCCTCAAAAAACTAAAAATAGACTTACTATATGATCCAGCAATCCTACTCCTGGGCATATATCTGGAGGAAACTCTAATTCAAAAAGATATATGCACCCCAGTGTTCATAGCAGCAGTATTTACAATAGCCAAGCCATGAAAGCAACCTAAATGTCCACCAACAGATGACTGGATAAAGAAATTATGTGTGAATATATACATACATACACACAATGGAATATTATTCAACCATAACAAAAGAATAAAATAATGCCAATGCCATTTGCAACAACCTGGATGGACTTGGAGATCATCATACTAAGTGAAGTAAGCAAGAGAAAGAAAAATACCATATAATATCACTATCAGTGCAATCTAAAAAAAAAAACACAAATGAACTTATTTACAAAATAGAAGCAGACCCAGACACAGAAAACAAACTTATGGTTACCAGTGGGGAAGAGGGAGTGTGGAGGGATAAACTGGGAGTTCAGGATTTGCAGATACTAACTACTATATATAAAATAGATAAACAGCAAGGTCCTACTATATAGCATAGGGAACTATATTCAATACCTTATAATAGCCTATAATGAAAAAGAATATAAAAATGAATATATATGTATAACTAAATCACTCTGCTGTATACCAGAAATAGCACAACATTGTAAACTGTCTATAATTTAATTTAAAAAAATCTGCCAGTCTTTGTTTGACATTCATTTAGTTTTTAATATTTAAATGTTTAATATTTACCAAGCTCTTAGCAAGTACCAGGCCAAGTGTTAGGTGCTGAGGATTCAAAATGGAGTAAGACACAGTCTCTGCCCTCAAGGAACTCACAGTTTCAAGGTTTAATACTTACTTTGAACAGGTTGAAAAACATTACCTAATGTAGTAGAACGTCAACCTTTTGAACACTATAATTTTGGTTTTTTTTTTTACAATATCATACTTTAAAAAAAATTTTTTATTGAATTACGGTCAGTTTACCATGTGTCATTTTCTGGTGTACAGCATAATTTTTCAGTCATACATGAATATACATACATTCATTTTCATATTCTTTTTCACCATGAGCTACTATAAGATCTTGTCTATATTTCCCTGTCCTATACAGTATAAACTTGTTTATCTCTTCTATATATACCTGTCAGTTTTCTAAACATATTATGCTAATCCAACATCAGTTATTGCTCTCTAAAAAGAGGGGGAGAAATTTCATTCATTCATTCATTTGTTCATTCGATAGATATTTATTGAGAACTTACTATGTTCCAGGCACTATTCTAAGTGTCTGCATTATAACAGTGTACAAGATAGACAAGTCCTTATATTTTTGGCTTTCCTGGTTTTGAGTCTAATGACCTGATGAAAGTGTTATCATTTGAAGTAAAATGATTCAGTTGTATCATGGCACTGAGAGTGAAGGTTCTAACTCTGCTCATGTAATTCTTAAAGTAGAATAGGTAGCTCTAGATCAAAACTAAGACAAAGGTATTGGGAGTTAGACTCTTCCCTTTCTCCCCACTACCTCTCACCCTCCACCACTGCATACTCCTTCACCATCTGAAGTAAGTGCCTAAACTTATGATTTGTCCAGGCAAGGCCAAAGAAACTGAAGGAAAAGGGCCGAAACCCTATACACAATCAAGATTCAGACCTTTAAAAACATTTCTGATGAACTTGGAAGGGGAGAGCCAAGTGCAATTGTAGGGCGGAACAGTTGAGCCTTCAGGAGAAATGACCTATGTGCAGAAGGCACCTGGCAGGGAATGACTAGAATTAGCGGTAGGGCCTGGAGTCACCTTTCAATGACTGCAAATAGAACAAGCCCACATGTCTCCTTAGGCCTAGGTTCCTGCTCTGGTTATGACTTTCTGTTCAACAAATTATCCCCAAATGTAGTGGCTTGAAACAACCATTTATTATGACTGTGGATTCTATGGGTCAGAAATTCCCATAGGGATGGCTTGTCTTTGTTCCATTAGCTTCAGCTGGAAGACTCA